AAATATAGGTAAGCTGGGTAGGGGAGGGATGGTGAAATATAGGTAAGCTGTGAAGGGGAGGGATGGTGAAATATAGGTAAGCTGTGTAGGGGAGGGGTGGTGAAAAGTAAGGTCACCCGATAGAACCCGGGGGGAAACCCTAATATCAAAGGGCAGGGGTCCTCAGCGTCCCTTTTAGGGTTTGAAATCGGTATTTTGGTCCCTCTTAGGGTGATATTTAGTGACGAGAATTCCCACCAACTGAGTTTTTGTGGTCGCTTTTAGGGTATACGGCGACCCTAAGCCGTCATAAAATGGCAACGTCGACATAAACTCAATACGAACCGACGGTGTTCGATGATTGTACAAAAACGCAAATAAAATCGGGAAACCAAAACAAAATGATCTTTTATTGATTGGTCCCTCTTAGGGGTGTAATTTCAGCACTGCCACGCCCATCATCTCGCAATGGAGGTCGCTTTTAGGGGTCATTTTCAGAATTTCCGAAGAGGACCCCGCCMTTTGATATTAGGGAGTCCCCCCGGGATATAGAGGCGTCAAAGGAAGGGGAAGGGTGAGAAAATTACAAAGAATCTTTGGATTGCCATATTTAGTTATATATTCACTTTCAATTATTCAAAMTTCTCGGTCTTGTAGCGAATATAGCTTTGAAGCTCATTGACGGTTTGAAAACGTGGAACATTTTTCAAGGAAAATGTCTCATGGCGAGACTTGTTTGTTGGTGAAAAGTAAGGTTACCTGACATATATAGGAACGTGTGTGATTCTATATTGCAAGTCAAGAATCGGTACAATCCTTTAAAGAAAATAACAATAATTTTAATTGCACTGGAGGATTTCAGAACGCTTAAAAGGAGGGGGGGTTGACCAACACTAAGATAAAAATCAAAATCTGCAGTCATGCAGATTGGATCGGTTGTCAAGTTTTGTAGCCAAAAATGAGCGCTATGCATTGGTGGGCTGGGTCCATATAATTGTTTTGATATGATGTCATCAGTTGAGCTTTGTAGATTTCATGTAAATTATAGGGGTTTTTTTGGTCACGTGATCTGGTGTGCACCTCGTGCGTTTGCCARACGACCACCTCTTTTGGACCTGACAAGAGGTTCGAAAATGCTGTCTCGTAAAATAAATGTCAGATGTTCAAAAAAGTCGTGTCGTTTATTAGCCTAGAAGATCTGAAATCTACGTGGAGGCAGAAACCACAAGCTTATAGAGAAAATAAGTTTTATGTAATGTTAATAAACGAGAAGGAGTGTTTTATCGGGTATAAAGATTCTAGTCTGGAATTTGACGAAACCGGAAGTTGCGGCTGTTAGAAGRGACTGTTAAGATTGTAGCCGAAGGACAAACATGGATTAAATGTTGGGAAATTCATGAAATATTGTGTAATGCACGTTTTGTTTCCTTCAAAACTACTAAGAAAAATCAAAAACAAGCATAGTAAATACTGTATTACGATCACCAACCAGTTCACTGAATGTGAATTCAAAATACTTTATTGCTAAAATTTTTGCTAAGCAAGTTGCAATAGTTCCAGTGATTRACAGACAACCTTCACTAACATGTTTTAACAAAAMAATTTTACAAACAAAGAACAAAAAAATTATGTTTTAACATGTGTTATCACCACTAAATTCAAATAGCTGTAATGTGATCTAACATGACAATTCAAACTTTTCTTATGTTTAAATTTCTTTTCGCATCTGGAACATTCAAACTGTTTCTCTCCAGTGTGAGTTTGCAAATGGTTTTTTCAAGTGATCTTCCCATAGAAATGTTTTCTTGCAAAAAGAACACTTAAATAGGTTCTCTCTAGTGTGAATTCGCAAATGTTTTTTATAATCTCCTTTCCTTCCAAATTTCTTTTTACAGTATCAACATTCAAATGGCTTCCTCAGTGTGATTTTGTACATGAAATTTCAAAGATTCCTTTCGTGAAAATTTCTTTTCACAGTACATAGAAGAGCATTCAAAGAGCTTTTCACTTGTGTGTGTTTTTAAGTGATGTGTTAACTCAGCATGACGTATGAATTTCTTTTTGCAGTAAGARCATTGGAAGGGCTTCTCTCCGGTGTGCGTTTTCAGGTGATATGTCAAGATATCCTTACGTGCAAATTTCTTTTTGCAGTAAGAGAATTCAAATGGTTTTCGTGAATAATCTATCATGTGATGTTTCAGGGTAAATTTCCTTTTGCAGTTAGAACATTCAAATGGCCTCTCTCCAGTGTGAGTCCTAAGGTGACGTGTTAAATCCTTCTTTAAAGCAAATTTCTTTCTGCAGTATGAACACTCCTTTTCTCTGACATTTGTTACTGGATGACAATTCACACCAGACTTTCTTTTCAATGTGTTTTTGAGATGTAAGTTATTCTCTCCAGAAGGTAAAATACTATGTCTTTGCATATTCACTTGAACTAATTTTTCTGTTGTTTCATTGTTGTTTTCACTTTTGAGTTCCACTGAATTTTTTGTGTGATTTCTTTCTCCCTCCTGAAGAAAGCTGTCAACATTAAAATCTCTATCGTTATTATCAACAGAGTTATTGTTTGCTTCAATTTTTCTGTTGTTTCCAAGCTCTTCTAAATGTGTAAAGTCATTCTCATCTCCCTCCTGAAGTACATTGTCTATATTGACAATGATGTCTTGATTGCTAACAGAATAAATTGTTGCTTCACTGCTGTCTTCATCAAAACTGTTGGCATCTTCAAGAATTAGAATTGCATCAATTTCTTCCAAGTCTTTGCTTTCATCTTCTCTCCCTCCATCATCCAATCCRTTATCTAGACCASGTTYAATATCTAYGTYATCTCTAGCTACTTCTAAAACAACTGGTTCTTGCAGTGGTGATGTTTCTGTCCCGTGGGAAAGGGGGGGTACTCGACCCCGTTTTGGATAGGTACGTGCCGCCAGCGGTCTAAATCCCTAAATCTTTTATCTAAATTGTAGAGCCTGTTTAAGACAATTTCGGGTGAAATGTATACCCTGTTTAAGACAGCAAGGCCAAAAACCATACCCTGGCCAGCGGCACGTCCCCGTATAGCAAATATATGGGAGTACCCCCCCCGGGGNTGTGCTGTTGATAACATAGTCCGTATTGATGTAGATGGAAGTACAGCCAGTATTACAGCCATTGTCATCTGTCTGTGTACCAATGGTGCAGACTTCTTTGTAGACAACTGGTTGACCAATCATGACACAGTTCTCGTCTCTTGAACCCTAAAATGGTATACAAGCAGTGAATCTGACTTATTTTATTAAAATATGTAACTTAATTAACGCATGCTGATCCATACTGCTGAGGACTGATTCTGTACGTATGCTTTTCCCATTGGATTTAAAATTGAGAGTTTTTTTGTCAAAACTAATTCCTAATCCGTCGCTTACTTCACGAGTAGCTGGCCACTTGTGCTCCCCTGTCACCTTGTTGTAGATAAACAAAGTCTGTCCTGACTTATTTACACTTGTATTCTATCCAGTTTGTATCCATGACTTGTCAAGCCCTTGTATAAACAACAGCGGATCTCAATGGAAGAAATCTTATCAATCAATGAAAGTCGTTTAGAAAACGAGTCCGAAAATCATATCTTTGAAAACTTTCTGCAAGGCGTTAACTAAYCGGTCAAAAATGTTACGAGCCTCGACTAGAAGACTACACAGGCAGTCTGCGCATAAACTTTTTAATCACAATCTCCCTCAATTAAAACTATGATCACAGGAATTCCACGTAACATAAGCGAAAAATAAAAAAAATTAGATCACTAATTTTTAGATATCTACAAAATGTTCCTTGTCGCACATTTTAAGCCTTTCTTACTTGTCTAGAGGATGTCTAGAGATATTTCAAGCCAAACTTCCTTTTTTAACTCGACATTTTAAATACAAATGGTGCGATTAACATGATTAAGGTACTAGTTATTAGCAAAGATAAAAAATGACAGTCGGCCAGACTGATCTTCTTCCGCTGTTTTTTTTTTAACAAATACCTATTTACTTTTAAAAGTTCCAATGCTCTCATTCAAAAACATAACAGACATAACAACATCTTTGCCAAATTGGCCGATAACAAAGCGAAAAAGGGAATGGGTCCTAACTTAAAAATCTAATTAAATAATGGTTCCAGAAAGAATAACGCCATCGTGTGAGAGAGCACCATATAAAAGACTTACTAAGCTCCATGATGTTTGAACTTATAGCAATAAAGTTACGGGTACGGACAYTCAAAMCCAAAATTACAAAGAAATGTATAGTGTCCAGTCAAAGCGTCTAGACAAATATACATTCTCATTTTAGAAATTTTTGAAAAATCTATATTTCCAATTCTAATGACTTATTTAAAGGGACACTGTCAATGGATGACATGCGCAGTCACAGTCTCGCCTCTAACGGACTTTAAAAGTATTACCTTCAAGATAAATCATTTTGTGGTGCTTTTGACACACTTTGGAATATTCTAGATCTGTTTACGTTTACGAGCTGATTTATGTAGCGCCAACTTGGAGTCATAAACTTAAAAACATTAGCCTAATGTTTTCAAGTTTACTCGCGCATGCGTGCCATTGACAGTGTCCCTTTAACTAATTAGAGTGCTTTTAGTCAACCTGCAAAAAACTTAGTTAACTAAATAACTATTTAGTTGACGTCACATAAATTAGTAAAAGCGCGCCAAAGCAACCGTCGAGAAAATCAGGGGGAGCTGTAGGTGGCTTTGTTTTACCGAGTCTGTAAAACGTTAACAAACCAGCAAAGTTTTGTGAAATGCACTGTAATTGTTTTTGAACAGTCTTTAATGGTTAAATAATCTGAATCTGTTCTTTCTGAAGCCCCTCTTARAAAATGTAAAGCGGAAGACAGCGTCATTAGCGATATTGTTCATATTCGTTCGTGTCGAAGGCAGGAGTTCAATAAACGTACTGGCGGCGCGAGACGGCGTATTTCATTTTAGTTCTCCTTATCTCTTCGGTCACGCATCCATTTTAAGTAGATTTGAAGTTTGTAAATCATTCGATAAAATTCAGAAGTAGCGCGCTATAGAACTCTGGAAGRAATAGACTCTTGAACCTTCGCCATATCTAAAAATTTTAGCTAAGGGACTGTGCAATAATTACCAGGAGGGGGGCGTAAAACCAGAGGTGGGGCATTACTTAAAATTGATGGCAAGATAGGGGGCTCAAAGTAAAATTTGACCATAAAAACGTTACATATAAATAAGCCTTTTTTCGACCTTGAAAACCTTGCCAGAAGAAAATTATTTGAAAGAAGCAATGGCGCTACATTTGCTTGAGTGAGATTTTCAACAATGTAGCCAGTATAGCCAATGTAAAATCTCTTTAATTTCCCAGGAACAAATTCAGCTCCTAATGAAAGTTTTTGTCTTTACACTTAGGTYCASATGAGTAAGCCACCTCTTGCATCTGGGTTCGTCTTTAGTGAATTTTGGGTTGCTACAGTTGAGTCGACTCGCTTGTGCTTGTTTTATAACTTAAGTTAATAGTTAGGGGGGATTCGACGTTATTAATATAGCAGAGGGGGGGGGGGGGGGGGTAAGAGCTATTTTCTTATGCTTCGGAGGGGGGTTCTGACTAATTTTCTGCTTAAGAAATCTGGTTTTACAGTCCCCCCTCCTCCTKGTAATCATTGCACAGTCTCTAATTTATATGTGCTTTATCTATCGACAACAGATTTCTGTTACAACAGATTTCTGTAAGATTGTAGAACTGCTCGTTTTGTTATCGGCTAATTAACTGTATTCTGCTGTTTGACAGACTGTATTTACCGATCTAAATCCATTGCAAGAAAGTATCTTGTTATACGTTGAAAATTGCAACGGACTGGGCACGAGTCAGTCGTTTGTCCTAAGACAGAACCTGGTAACAAGTCATGTCTGTCTACTGATTACATTGAACATGTTGAAAATCGTGCATTCCTTCAACCACGTGACATGGCATTCCATGGATCCATTTCGCCACGGGAAAGTCAAGATGAATTGTTCCGGTCAGCGGCTTACTGCTTTCACAACGTCGAATGTACGAATTGACAATTTGCATGATTACGTCATACCAGAATACTTTCCTCATTTTGTAATGCAGTTAGTAGCAAATGGTTGATAAAGAGAAAATCTTCGGACTTCACCGGTTCTTCGTCAAGACAGGAAATTAATGCGACGAAGGACCACCGTCTTCTTGACCTATTTACGGAGCGTACATTTTATCCCAGGGGCATACTCCCCTATATCACTGACTAAGTTGACTAAGTTACGCTACACTTTTGGCCCATCACGTCTTGAATAGGGTATACAATTTGCCTTCAGTTGTCTTGAATAGGGTATACAACTGATTTGCCTTCAGTGAATTGTCTTGGATAGGGTATACAATTTGCCTTCAGTGAATTGTCTTGGATAGGGGTGTACTTTCTATGTTTACCATGTCTTACACATCTTTATCTAGTAGACTAATAAGACCTATTAAGTCAAAAAATGAAAAAAAAACAATGATATATCGATATCTTTAACGGGAACAGTACCTGGTCAACCCCCTTGCCTTGCATAGGGTCTAAATTGTACCAATTTGTCTTACGTAATGTGTGGAATTTCACGATTTTGCTGTTTTGTATAGAGCCAGTGGAAAGTCCCCACCCGTCCACTCCTCCCTCACTCCGATTTTATCACAATAGTTTCACTAGAAACACCGTCACATCTGACACTAGTGAATATCTTTGATATGCATATGTATTGATTGCAATCTTGCTGGACAAACCTCATTAACATGACAACCAATCACATTAAAATAACATTTCACGTGATGTTAAATGACCAATCATCTTGGATTGTACAGTCAGGTGTCTAACAGGTGGATAGTAAGGTAACCATGTAGTTCATGCTCATTGCTTTGCCTAGTTGTGTCGTTCATAGTGTTTCGTCATGGCTCAACGTCCTCGTGGTTACGGAGCTTCGGCTCAGGCAGCAAAAAAAGTAAGTCAACAAAATCAGTGACATCCATTCAAATTGTTTGCTAATGATTTCAAAGCTTTAAAATAAATACTAAATCATTTAGTATGAACTGAAAAAAATCAATTGTCAGCTATCCGGTACATTTATCACAGTCTATTTATGCATAAAAGATGCCTACTTTTATTTGATCTTTTGTCTTGCAAAAAAAAATAAAAAATAAAAAACTATGCAGTATGGTTACGGCTTTTACGAGCTCACTTTTCATGTCAGTGTCGGTAGCTACAGGTCCTCGTATCTACCATGTAATGAAACCTAAATAATGAAATCTAGACTACTATGGTTCAGGAAGGTGTTTTTTGATCTGTTTCTTTATTTTAGCTGTTTTTATACCTCAAGAATTGTGTTGGTATTCCAACCATTAGGCCTTGCCCATCATTCAAGTATCAACACTTAAATTCCTTTAACGCCTTGTAAAGAGCATTTGTAAAAACACGTTGAGAAAGCATGTTTGTGAAAAACCTGTTTTACTCGTCATAAAACTCTTGGAAATTATCAATAATTTGTACTACAACACAAAAGGATGATTATAAGGTACTTTTGTGTCAGAATTTATCAACATTTATCAGTCCAAAACTCAGTAGGGTGGTTCTAGCAGACCATCTTCATCAATTCAAAAGAACAAAAAACAGCCAATAGCATTTAGTTTATTAGACATGTGATTTCTTTCATCCAATCAAATTGTAGTATTCATACAATAAAAATCTGGCTTCTTGTTCACTTCTATCGAGGTGGTTTTCGTCTTTTCTGTTACTGTAGGATTTTCATAGTTCTTACTTTAATCTTCATTCAAAATGGCGTCCAGGCCGCGAGGCTACGGTATGTCAGCACAAGCCGCTCGCAAGGTGAGGAAAACATTTCGAAYGCTTCGAAACAGTAAGCCGAGACAGTTTGATACTTGACCTCATAATCTGACATTGCCAAAGGGAGAAATTCGCCTGTACATACAGCAGTTAAAATCATACAATCTTAACAAATTGCTGTGTTTTCTTGATCATAAAGCTTTTATTTGATTTATTTTTATTCAGTACTTTTAGTTTAGCATTTCATAGTTTTAGACAACAAATAATGTCATTTCAATTATTCTCTGATCATGAAAAAAGTGTTTTTTTAATATATCACGCTTTTTGATATTTTTTAGACATTCACTTTTGTATTCTTATTTTTCTTGTCAGCTTGTTGCGATGAGAATTATAAAGTAGCTAACATCCACTCGACTCAACACTGAAGTTGACCATTTTCCGTAAAAATAGTCAAAAACAAAACAAAAAAGGTTAAAGCCAATATTTGACTGAATAAATCGTCTGTTTTATAGAGCAGATTTCGTTTTCGAAGACCTACTAGAATAATATAATCTATAAAGTGTGTTTTTTGTGGCTATGACAACTCATTGTTTTCAGATTTTATACGCCACTCAGGTCAATTAGGAGAGCCCTCGTGGAATGTCGTCCGAAAAACTGTTCTTCTTATTTCCACATCTTTACTATATATAGTACTGGAAATCTTTATCTTTCGATATATTTTAACCTCTGTTTGATGTTAAGGTAGTAGAATCATAATTATGAATACAAAAACAAGTTTTTCTGCAAACAGTCGTGTCGACTGGTCTTCGTTAATGAAGCATTGTCGCACGTTGTCTCACCCAGTCTCATTAGTCCATATCTCTTGACATTTGATACAGTAAAAACCAGCATATAAGAACAAGTGGATTAAGAAYACCCAGGCCTGATTTTAGGAAATAAAGTACCATTTATATAAGAACATATTCAGCCTGAAAAATGAAAGTTGTTCTTATATGGTGGAAACATATCAAAAATCAACACTACTTTTCATTGCACACATAATAGTTCCACCCCAATTATATGTAACAAAATATTAAACAAAAATAAAAATGCATGTATATAATGTATAGTGCATATATAGTGCATATTGATTTCATCTATTAGTAGCCTACTATGCTCCTTATTTTAAGAAACCATTTTTTAAGAACACTTACAGACTGATTTTGCAGATTATTACCCTATATAGGTGTTCTTATACGCGGGTTTTCACGGYAAACAAACTGTACGGAAAATCATATCAAACTTATTGCCACACATCGGGTGACATTTGCTTAGATTAGATCTTTTGATATGTTATAAATGAAGAGGCTGAAAAAGAGCACAAATACGGCATTTTTTAAARAATATATATAGGTTTATCGTTCATTAGAAAAGCGAAAAGCTTTAAATAAATATCTCGGATTTTGCTCTCCGAAACCCTGGGACTCTTCAACAATAGCTTTTACTTCAATAACCTTATAATAAGAATAATCAAAACCACAGCATACAATACTCTTAAAGCCATTTTTACACAAGTATCAGAACGATAGATGTATCACATATCAAAGTGCGCCAAATTTCATAAGCTAAATAAAGTTATGCACRAGCCCAGTCTTTTGAAGCGAGCCGTGTTCAAAACATCGCCAATCTATTTTGATGCTCAACTCAGTCAAAGGCGAAAATACATACTTGGATTTTCAAATTTTCTCACGAAGAATACACAGAAAGGTCACATATATCTTTTATTTCTTACATTCGATGTTAGGTTTTTAGGATTATCTTTAATATCATTGCATTTCTTCAAAAAGTCTTGAAATCTGGTCTCTTTTCGTCGAATTTTACACTTCATACGGCTGTTAGGTTACGCTTGAGTGATCACGGACTTTAAGTCACCCTTAATAGGTATATTGTATGTCTACTTCAGGTGGGCAACCTGTACGTGGTATCACGTGGTATACAGCTGTTTCAAAAACGCTGAGTACTGAGTACGACTGTAATGTTACATTCCAATCCCGTAATGCATTGTGGGTTGTAGTGGTTTCAGAGAGACTATGACTTTTCCCTTGAGATGGAAAACTGCTATTGCGTTTAGAACTGTGAATTGCCATTCTGTAACGCAGATGTATTTCGGTTTTTTAATACACTTTATAAATTTTTTGATATATAACGCGCCCTCTGATTGGCTGACGACAGAGATACGTGCGACTTTTTATATTTCTTAAATACAGCATCGCTCGTCAAGTACTATATACGCGAATATACATTTTATATTTCTTAAATACAGCATCGCTCGTCAAGTACTATATACGCGAATATACGTTCTTTAGTACATAGTATGCTATGTTTTTAGATTCAAGACTGTTTACTCGTAGGGCTTGATTGTATGAAGCGCGCTGCCCCCATTCAACGATTTGGTTTCTTCCTTTATTATCCTCTGGGGGAAACAAACCAAGAGACCAGCCCACGTCATATAACCATACAAAAAATCCCCGAGAAGTATCTAGTTACAACTCAATAGAGAATTTTAAAACATAACAACTGTGATATACTTTTACAACTTTATGATGAAAGTTGATTATTGTTGTAAAGAATTTTCAATTTCACAATGACTTTGTTGTTGTCTTTATTTCTTTACATTGTCTGTATACTGTACATATATAGACTCTTGAAGCTTGTTTTCATCATGTTTTTATGCACCGACAGATACTGTGAGGTGTTGTGATTAGGCTCTTTGCTTCCCACTCCGCTTCTGATATTCTGTTTTGATTTTTTTTCGTTCATCGGAATTCCTCGGTTTCACGTTACGTCATCGCCGCCATGTTGGATGACGATAACAAAGCATTTCTCATTAGTTTCGCTTGTTCAGTCATCCAAATGGTGGCGATGGTAGCTTTGTTAGTTAATTCTCGAGAGATTCTTGATCATGTGGTTGAAACGCAAGAATTGAATGAGTCTATCGGAAAAAGGACACGTGTCGATTCCATGCTCTTTTTCAATCATTCGTCAGGAGTGCTCGTGAATCCTCATCCAACCCTTCTGTTGATTTTCACTTCAGCAACTCYTCGGGATTGTTTCTGGCTGCTTTCTTAAGGCTGCGTAGATACATTTGCTGGATAATACACCCCAATATCAATCTAGAGACTATGTTTTGKCATCKCATAACAGACATGCTACAGTCAACAATATCTATGAATCCTTGTGTCATGTTCTTGTTCTCACAGCTAGCAGAGAAGTATGACTCCCAACAAGAGGAAGAGGCGAGGGTGTGGATCGAGGCGGTGTTGGGTGATAAGGTGTTCGGTGATGCTCAGGGACCTGAAGAAGTACAACGAGTCTTAAAAGATGGAAAGATTCTTGCAAGGTAAACTGCACTTTTCTACTAAAACACACAGGAATTCTTTCTTTGACATTTTTGCTTATTTGGTTTGGCTTTCGTTAGAAGTTTTAAGTAGTTTTGTTTTGGWGTTCAGTTTGTTGTTGATTCCCTTCTGTGTTTTCAGTGTTTTTGTTGTTGCTATTTTTTATTTGTTTGGTTTTCTTTTGGATTGTTCATCATTTTATTTGTCTTTTWACTGGCTTGCAAAAATGYGTTTTTTGTCTTCAGGCTTGCAATAGCACTTGGTGCAAAGATTAAGGTTAACGAGCAGAATATGCCGTTTAAACAAGTGAGTTTAAATGAAACAAACAACTTCATCATTAACATGTCTGTGTAACGGGACAACAGATCTGATAAGACAACAATGGTCTTACTTACCAGAATGCTTTGCGTGTCTGTCCTCATTCTTATACTATTACTCAGGCTTTTGAATATGGCTTTAGTTATAAATTGACAAACATTAATTTCCTCTCTTTACCGCATTTATGCTAATTATTTTAAAAAATCTGAGCAAAGCATGATAAGTCTCGTAAACTATCAGACTGCATGGGGTGAGACTTACACCAACACTGTACCCGGCACTTTACTACCTCAACATCAGCTTATTCAGCACACAGCACTGGACGAAGTAGCTGGTTTTTGACTYAAAAAAAAWTKKTWWYMAAAAAAMSRWTTWAWWWTTTTGTTTATTTTGTTTCAAGATGGAAAACATTTCGAACTTCTTAAAACATGCCGAYGACCTCGGTGTTGCATCAAGTGATTTGTTCCAGACTGCAGATCTCTATGACAACCAGAACATGGGGGCTGTAAGTAACAGAATATAGCTATTTCAAAAAAGGTTGTCGGATAAAATGGTGACTGGCAATTGTCGAACGGTGATTGCACGACCGAAAGTAGCCATGGATTTTACTAATTGATGAAAAATAACAACTGATTTATACTGCAAGATAGTCTGTGAGGAACATCAGTTTTATTTARTCTCCACTTCTATGCAAAGTGAATACAATAAGTGACATTTTGTTTGTCAAAACAGTGTAACCACAGTCCCTTTCAKTTGTGCAATCTTCATTCGACAGGCGCAGTTCGCCGTTCTCCCCGACAAGGTTTTTTTTGAAATAGCTGCATATGAGATTATAAATAAATGAATGATTGGCTGAGTTACATGGTAGAGTGATTGAAAGGTATAGATGTTAAAATAGATATAGGTCTAAAATAGGTAAAATTGGGAAATGAATGAAGGAATGATTAATGAAACAAATGAATGATGAAGCGAAACGAATAAAAAGCTATATATATTGAAAGGTGATGTTATTTTCAGGTCGTTTCRTGTATTCACGCTGTTGGTCGCAAGGTAGGCTCTCTTCTCGTTTTCCATATCACAATATGATTTGAATTCTTAGTTCATTTTATAACAGAGTAACTCAAAAGGACTCCCAGTGCCACAGCTTGGCCCTAAAGAAGCCGAGGCTAACCCGCGAGAATTCACTGAAGAGCAGCTTCGTGCAAGCGAAGGGTTCATCGGCGCTCAGGCTGGGCCTGGTAAAGACCAGGTTGCCTCTCAAGCTGGTGATCATTATGGGCGTGGCCGTCAAATTACAGATTCCTATAAATAGATAGTGATGTCTGCATAATATGAATGCCACATTTGGTCRTGACTGACTTTTAGCAATATATTAGATAGAGTTGTGATGAAATAAATGCCATTAGATTGACCGAGTTTTACTGGTTATCGAAGGATCTTGAATGTTTTTTAAATCGCATATCACTACTGATCGACATGGATGACTTAGCACGTATAAAACATTGTGAGAAACGATGGACTTAATAAATGATTTTTCTATTGGTCTAGAAGAAGARCTGATTCTAGTGTGCCTTTAGTTTGTTTTTTTTGTTGTCCATTATTTGCTGGGTTTTTTTAATGCTTTATTTTCTTTTATGTTATTTGAGCCCCGGTTAACTTAAACTAAGCTTGGCGGAACGTCGACGCCCGTATGGTGAATAATAGGAGAGGACTCCAACCTACCCACAACCACTTTTTCCTTCTAGAAAGAAAGTCTTGCAATTTCCGGTTCAATCATTTTGAGGCCTGTACTACGTATTTTACACTTTTATTTCCAACAATTATGACCCAGAATTGAGACAGCTATGGCAGGTTCCCTTCGAGGGCGTCGCCGAACTGTTCTCCAAAAGACGAAGAGCTTGAAATCTGTACAGCCCGTATGTTGTCCATACAACTGTTTCAAAAAMGTTTGTCGACAGGTTGTCGTACATTACAAATGATTTATTTTTCCCATCAATATGCAAAACCCATATCTCCTTTCAGTCGAGCAGTACCGTTCGACAATTTTATGCCGCTGTCCATACTCGGACAACCTTTTTTGAGATAGGTATTTAAATTACAAAGACGAGGAACTTATCAATTTTTATTTGCATATTTAACTTTGAATAAATGAAAAATCTTATTACTGTAATACCAAGTTGATTTGAGAAAATAAGTAAAACATTTAGTGAAAAACGATTTTAAAATATTTGTATAGTCCTCATATCCATGTACTGCAAGCTGCTGTTGGTTTTTACCTTTGGCACCGTTCCCATTACTTGCAGGAATACCGCTGAATTCATTCAAAACTTTCATAATTTCTCGATCTAAATTCACATGAACTTTTTGTCGTGTCATGATAGGAACGATAAGGTTCAACTTATCGATTTTGGAATCAATTAATCGAACCATCTGTTGAAAGCCTTCTCGGTATTCATCCCATTTGATCGAGTCTTTCTTTGTAAATGGCATTGGMCCAAGTTTAGATCGTTTTATGTTCATTGATATTCTAAGTGTGTGTAAGTCATCACGGATCTCTTTTTCAAGCGCTATCCAATCAGGGATATATCCAGAATCTATCAGTACTTTATTCAGTCTATGTGTTCCAGAATCTGGAAAAATTAATTGGAAAAATCGTTATGATATGCAACTTTTAAAAATATAGACAAATGAATGAATCTACAGGTGCTT